GGTCTCCCAAAATGCTGGGATTACATGTGTGAGCCATCATGCCCAGCCAGTTAGTGACTTTTTTGATGAAATATGTAAACTCAGAAGTCAAAACCCTATAACTTAACAACACAAGGATTAGTTAATAGCACCTGATAAGGACGCATCTAAGTGGCTGGAGGTGATGATACCAGAGTCTATGATCTGACTGGAAGTTGTAAAAAGATTTTACAAGCTTGCAGTGACTAATTTTTATAGCTTTGAAAAGTCCCCAGTAATAAGTCTAGGTCAGAGACTTAGTTTAGAATTTTGATTTTGAGGACATTTATTAAAGATGTTAAAAGGCTCAAACCATTTGGTTGAAACAGAATTACAGGTTATTATAAAATGACAGTCATTTATTTAACAAAGAGTGATAATTAAAAGACCACAAAGGCATAGAGAAGGTTAAACAAATGTGAAAACCTTACTTATTTTAAATCTCAGGTTTTTAAGTAGTCAAAAACTTAATAAAGATAATATAAAAATTATCTTGATAAAACACAAAATTTTGCTTTTCAAGCCAGTTATGAAAGAGGCAAAGAAAAACCTTTTGAAGTGTGACTGTTCTATCTTATGGGAAGTTGATTTAGATAACTGGGAAGTCAAACCTGATGATAAAAAGTACTTGAGTTTAATCAGACTCAGGAAGAATGTGTTTAAAGTTGTGAATATAGGAGGGAGATACATTACTCTTAGAAATTGCCTAAGAAGTTATTTGATTATATTGAAAAATGTAGACATATTAAGAAAAGCCAAGAGTATAGAATCATGTTCTACTGGAGGAAAATATTGGTGTTTTAGACCTTTAAGATAAAACATTTTAGCATCAGGCCACAAGTTAGAACGAGAGGGGAAACTTACAGGAGCTGGTGTTTAAACATATTTAAACATGTACATACACCCAAAGATTTACCAGCTTTTACCTTGGAACTCTTGCCATGGGACAGCATCACAAAAATCACTGGCCTACAAAAGATAGCTAGATCCAAATTATTTTTGATAAAATTGGGATCTGTCAATAGGCAATTCAGTGAAGACTGTGAACAAAAATTTTGGCTAAAGTAGTTTTTATGGCAATTTGATTTTTTTTAAAAAAAGTTTTTACCCTTCTATTTTTGTTTAAAATGAGTGTTTATTATCTACCTTTTGTTTTAAATGAGTGCTTATTGTCTACAGAACTGGTTGAACTGTATAAGAAAAACAAAATCTCCAAACAACCTTGAATTGGTGGTACTATAAAAAGGGAGTTTTATCTCAACACCAGGAGTTTAATAGCAGTAGATTCAAAGCAGGAAGGAAAAACAAGAAAGAAAGAAATAGAGAGTTTTAGAAGACTCTGTTTAACTCTATAGTTGTAGGTTAACCATTTGAGCTCTGAAGTTTTCTTGCTGTAATTTGTCCAGCAGTTCAAAATGTGTATAAAAATGGGCCATAATATGTAATCAGCTGGAGTCTCAGACATCCTGGTTTGCCTTTGAACTTTCTCATGTTTTTAAACACGTAAGCAAGAGTGCATGAAGATAACTGGCAGACAAATGAAAACAAACCAGTTCTCACATTGGGTAACAGTCCAGCAACTATTTCCCTATCCAACAGGGTATGCCAATCAAAGACAAAAACAAAGTGGCTTCTTCAGAGGAAAAGCCCACGTGGAGGGGAAGGGAGTTCCTGGTTACACAAACTGGAGCAACTTACCCAGTCCTGGAGTCCACTGACTGCCCCAGACACTGCTTCTCCTTGCACCTGTGAAGCATTGTAGGTAGCTGATGTTACAACCAGGAGAGAAGGAAGGATCCCCAAGACAAAAGTATTCTCAACAGTTGCTGGGACATCCCTGGAATCCTAGCCATGAGATCAGTTAGCCACAAGCAGATGGCACTCAACGAGTGGTTGTTGCTCTGCCTGGTAATGTAGCTCTGCCAGGTAGCAGCCCTGCTGTGCTGCTACAGCCAATTGCTCCATCTGTTGGAAACCAGGAAGGATAGACCACCTGAGGCACACAGCCCCATGCTGGACTCCGTAGTTTTAACCAAACCCAGATTCAGCTACCCGCCAACTGAAAGAGAAACATGAGAGACAAGAGCTGGTGGAAGGAAAAGCCGATTTTTTAAGAGAGCAAACAAACCAAGAAGATGCTATACTAGCATCCTAAAGTACCATCTCAAGTCACCACAAATTTTAGGCTCTTTTTATGTTAAGGGCAGGGGAAGAAGAGAGGGTGGCAATAAAGAGGTGACTGACAATCCGAGAGCCAGCAAGGGTCTGAGGAGGTTAAGAACGTTTTTGTCTTTGACCAGGTCACGATGTTTTATAAATGTTTCAAAAAAACATAGTTGTTAACACAGCTCTTTTTAATCCCAGAGTTAGTTTTCATGATTATTTTTTATATATTATCTCAGTACTCCAAAATTATCTTAGCCTACATACTAAATGAGTTAAAGGCCCCTTCAACAATAGTTAGTTATATTAATTCTTTTGCTATTTCACTATTACATGACCTCCTGCCTTCCTCTTATAAGAACACTTCTGATCACATTGGGCTCACCCAGATAATCCACAATAGTCTCCCCATCTCAAGATTTTTTCACTCAACCACATGTGAAAAGTCCCTTTTGCCATGAAAGGTGACATATTCACAGTTTCCAGGCATCAGGACACAGACACCTTTGGAAGACATTATCGTGCCTATTGTTTCATTCTTCCCAGCGCTGTGTGATTGCAGAGGAAGTTAGTGAAAGGGCTCCTTCCTGTTCAGAGGCCTCTGCAGGTGAAGTGTGTCCCTCTGAACACACACGGATGTCTTGATAGTCCCCAGCAACAGGATTCAGCTGCAGCTCCACATTCCCTCAACATAGCACTGGTGGCATCCGGCCTAGGTCACAGGAGCTGCAGGGGTCTGAAGAAGGGGTGCTAGAGGTCCTATTTCTGGTCACACGGGCTCTGCCTAGTTCCATTCATAAAATACCACAAGGAAATATGGTTTGGTACAAAAGTGATGAACAAGTAATAGGTGTATACTTTCCAATTCATAGGATAAGCTCTTTATATATTCTGGGCTACCTCCCTGGAACAGATAACATCTATTTGACTTTTCTTTGAGCTAAATGAATGACTTAATCTTTTATCTTCAAGAATATAGTGTCTAAACTGGAAATAGAGATTTTTCCAAATGATAACCATGCATTAAAAGACATACAGTCAAGGTTTAGTAGAGTTACATTTTAGAGTGTTTTAAAGAATGTTACATTTTAGAGTGTTTTAAAGAACGAGTTGAAGATTGATTACCTAGCAGCGTGGGCATAAAGACACAAAACAGGGTCATGAAAGGTCTAAGGTTGTTCAGGAGATTGAAGTCAGTTCAACGACGAGGAAACACAGGTCATGGGGGCAAGGGAGTGATGGGAGATGAAAAGGAATGCCCATCAAGGACCAGATTCTCTCTTCTTTGAGGCTTCCTTTGGAATAGTTCTTAGATCACACTTCTGCACACTTGGAAAATCACGCCATCTTTTTAATATCTCAAAATTCTGCCCAAACTTAGAACAACTTCTAAAAGAACTCATTAGAACACGTCTTCCATTTAGGAGGAAGCAGTAGCACTACTGGGTACAGTGTTAACACCTACCATGATTGACTCCATTGGCCTGCAGAAACTTTCCACCTTTGCAATTGCTCCTTTAAGTTAAGACCTACATCTCCATGGCCCTATTAAAGCTATCCTACTAGGTACTGGAAACCCATCAGTTTGTTCTTAAATGAGATCATGAATGCCACAGAAAATATGTGTGCTGGAAGCACATTACATATTTCTGAAATGTCAATTTTTTTTTTTTTTTTGAGACAGAGTCTCACTCTGTCACCCAGGCTGGAGTATAGTGGTGCAATCTTGGCTCACTGCAACCTCCGCCTCCCATGTTCAAGCAATTCTCCTGTCTCAACCTCCCAAGTAGCTGGGACTACAGGTGCGTATCACCAAGATTGGCTAATTTTTGTATATTTAGTAGAGACAGGATTTCACCATATTGGCCAGGCTGGTCTCGAACTCCTGACCTCGTGATCTGCCTGCCTCAGCCTCCAAAAGTGCTGGGATTACAGGTGTGAGCCACCATGCCTGGCCTGAAGCATCAATTGTACTTGCACCTTCTGGGTAGAAGGAAACTATTTTTATATGAAACATTAATAGGTATATATTAAGATTCACTATAGTGAACTAAAGTGAACTACTCTGGGAATAATGATGACATCCCAAGCTCGTTAGAGTTCCTCCCCCAGCAAAGTGAAGTTCCTCCATAGCTGCCATACTGCTCTTCCGCAGAGATGTGGGCAGGCTGTGAGATCTAGAGTTGTAAACATGCAGGGAAATTTCTATATAACCCAGACCGCCAGACTGAAACCTTCTGAAGATCACTGTCTTATAGAGACCCAATATGAGTTAATGAAGCCTGTTCTGTGCCTTCTCCCAGCTCTGTACTAGACTGAGTCTGGGTCAGATGCAATCTAGAGGGCCCACCCCCAGCCTGCTTCAGTACTGGTTTGCATCCAACCAGTCTAAGCACTGACTGCATGAGAGCCTTCCTTTCCTTGCTCAAACTTGACAAAAGTCTGTGAACTGAGCGGCGCCTCTGTCCCTGGGCTCCACACCGGGGTCTCTGCTTGTGGTTCAGGCCTCAGGCATCTCTGATGAGCTAACACAAACCAGCTCTTGGCTAAAAAATCTCCCAGGTTTGTGGTCCTCCCTAGCATCCATCCCCATCAGAGATGCACTTATTTCTTTACCATCTTTCTTTACCCGGAAACAAAGCTATTTGCAATGCTCAGGCTCCCATGGTTTTTACTTCTCTCACTTAAATTAACATGAAACACAGCAATAAATTCCCACCAGATGTCTCTTCTGACTGTCTCAGACAATAATCTTTTTTTTAAAAAAAGGACTGACTGTTCTAAGTATTAGAAATGACATAGCACACCTTTGTTTTAAGCAGCTGTCAAGTCCTCCCAGTAAGATGTCCTTGGAGAAGATGAAAGAGCTTCAGCTGGAGGAAAAATTTCTACACCCAGAAACTACAGAAGTGAATGGAATCCTCATGGCCAAAATGATTAGTGATAATTGGGACAAAATCTGGAATTTCCAAGCAAAACCTGATGATCTCCTAATTGCAACCTATGCAAAGGCAGGTGGGTGTGAGGAAATGGCAGGAAAGCCAGATTTAGCAGAGCACTGACACCTGGGGTGAGTTTCCCAATTGAAAAATGCAAGTTGTCACCAGTGCTGGCCCTGGAAAAAAATGAAAACCAGACTTGCTCATGATCTCCAATCCTCTACAGTCCAAGATCTTCCTTTTATTTGGTCCCTGTAGAAGAGACTGCCAGAATCCCAAATCCCCAAAGGACTGAAAGAATTACAGAGCACAGAGGTTCTTACAGTAAACTTGCCAGCCAGCCAGTCCCTGCTCCCATCTGCTAAGCCCTCCTGGAATTAACCACAGTTCTTGCCCTTAAGAAGCTCCTCCCAGTGGAGACATGTGGAACTGAACGCTTTCACCTCACTATAAAAAGCACTGATAGAGTTGGGGCCAAAATGTATGTGAGCATGATGGGGAAGATGTGAGAAAGGGAAGGTGGCATTTACCAGAATCTTATGAAAGGAAGAGGAGTTTGTGGGAAAAGCAAGAGTCAGAAATGGCAAAGAGTGCCCTAGGCTTGTGCAGGGTGGAGGAATGGGAACATCACCACCAGCAAGACTGTGAGGATGACTCATAATCCCCCATGTAATCTGAATATATAATCTCAGGCAGTGTGACCAAGTGAGGTAAAGGACTTTAATGAGTTTGGGAAAGTCAGTGGCCACTTGACTCAACATGAAGAACACTAGATATCCATAACCAGAAAGATTTCAGAAAAGGGTCCCTTCACCACAGTTCATGGAAATGTGTTTCTGTCCTCTTTGGCTCCAAACTCCCCTCCTTAACCTCACTGCCTTCTTATTAACTCAGCATTGGCTGGCCAGGGCTTTCTTAATAAACTTAGGTAGGGGCTTGCTATTAGTAAGTTTCAGTTTCTCTAGAATCTCCTATCAGTTTGATTTGCATTGGACACTTCTCTTTGTCCAGATGTGAAGGTAAACCTGTATTACCTAAGGGCAGAAATTTTGTTTCAGTTTGCATGGGAAATTATGCAGTTGGCCCCAAGGCCCTCCATCCCAAGGCCTCAATGCTTCCCCAGTCTTACTCCCCCATCTCTCCCAGCACCTCTCAACTTCCTGCGAGCCCTCCTTCCTTCCCAGTGTGGAATATGCATGCCTTTGTCTTAGCTCCTGAGGCTCCTTGCCTAGGATGCTGTGCCTCCTTTGTTAACATGGACATTCTATTCCCACTTCAGCCCTTCATTTCAGAGCTACCATCCCCTTCCTCTACGGAGCCCTACCAACCCCTTTCTCAGTGGGTCCGCCCTCCTGTGAACTCCTAGACCACTTTACACATCTTTACAGCCCTTCCTGGAAGTTTCTCTTTCGTTTATCTGCATGTGTCTCATGCTTCAGTTAGCATCAGGTTTGGCTGCAAGCCACAGAGCCATCAAAAGTAGTAAGAAGAAAATGGATATTTGGTGGACAATTAGCTCTCTCTGCTTCAGTCCACCTTTTTGCCTACCCACATGTCCATTTACAGGCCTCTTCTGTATCAGTTAAGATTCTATTTGACTACAAGTGTTAGAAAAGCCAAAATAACACAAAGAGAAAAGCAGTGAGGAGGCTGGTAGCCTGGGGCTGAAACAGTGGCTGCCTTGGTCATGAGCCACCCTGGTTCCTTCTAGCTTTCTGCTCCACTATCCTGAGGTGTGGCTTTTGAGTTTATGGTCCAGTATGACTGCTGGGGCTCCAATCACCACAGGCACATTCCAAATACCAGCAAGGAGGTAGGAAGGAATGAAGAAGGTCATGCCCTTTCCTTTCACGACAGGTTCCCAGAATTTACTGGCATGGCCACATTTATCTGCAAGAAGTAGTAGAAAATATAACCTTTAAGCCCAACAGCTATATGCCAAGCTAAAAATTGAGAATCTATTAATTTGAAAGGGAAGGGAAGAATGCATAGTAGCTATGGCAAGAAGCACTCTCTGTCACATCTTATCTCCTCCCAAAATATTGTAAGCTTGTTAGAGCAGATATAATGGCTAATTCATCTTTGTATCTCCCTACTTTCATTTGCTTCAATATTCAACCATGAAGCTATATTCATTAGGTGCAAAGCCCCATGGTATGTACTAGGAACAAAGGAAAAAAAAAAAATGAGTTCTTACCTCCAAAGAGCTCTTAGTGGCAAGGAAGCAATATATAAGCAGACTATGATAATCAAAGAGTGCAGACGGGGTCTGGTGCTCAGAGGAGAGGCCCCACCCACTCTGGGTGGTATGCGAAAGCCCCACTCACCTGGGGGTCATGTGGAAGAGAGGGCGGGTGAGCTGATCCTGCTCAACACTCAGCAATTGGGAGATTAACTAAATACATGAGTAACCATGAAAATAGAATTAAATTGTGCCACGAATAGGTGAAGATGAGAATAACCAATGCTTCTAGGCACAACCTGGACACAGGAGATTGTGGACATGATCCAAAATGATGGGGATGTGCAGAAGTGCCAGAGGGCCAACACCTTTGACCGCCATCCTTTCATCGAGTGGACACTGCCCCCACCCCTCAACTCAGGTAAGTTTGCCCGAGTGAGTCCTACGGGGTTGGAACCACTGTCCTGGGTCAGTTTTCACCCAAGAGGAAAATCATTTCTGCAGTTAGCCTTTTAGAAACTATGTCCATAGGAACTGGGAAGGAGTTCGAAGGGGGTTCATGTCAAAATACCTGGGGAGAAAAGTATTGCCATAAATGATTACACTTTACACCAAATATACTAAGAATGCAAGATATAGAAGGCACCCTTGAAGATTCTGTAATCAAGTTGGGAATAAAGGACATATTTTTATAAAGCCAATTGTAATAAATAGTAGTTTTCACAGTAGGAGACAAGCCTTTGGAGAGAAGGCATAGACATTAAAATCACACAGTCAAGCTTCAAATGCTGGTATGGATTTTTTATCTGGGTACCTTGAGCAAGTCATTAAGCATTTCAAAGCTTAATTTTTCTTCATTTGTAAAATAATAATACCTAATATGTATTGAAACCCTATTATTGATTGGAACAATTATTTCAGCAACACTTATTGAAAAATATTTTTTAATCTTTCCTCCCATTGAATTGTCTTGACCCCTTTGCCAAAATTAATTAACTGTTTATGTATGGGTATACTTCTGGATTTTCTATTCTGCTTCTCTCCTTGATGTATCAGTCTTTATGCCAATATTACACTGTTTCATAATAATTCCTGTAGTCTTATAATAAGTTTTGAAGTTAAGTAGAAATAAGACCTCCCATTTCTTTCTCTCTCTCTCTTTTTTTTTTTTTTTTTTTGCTTTAGCTATTCTAGGATCTTTGCATTTTCATATAAATTCTATAATCAAGTTGTCAGTTGCTACTAAAACCAACAAAGAACCAAAAACCCCCTCATGTTTTGGTTGGCATTGCATTAAATCTATACATCTGTTTGGAAAGAATTAATACCCTAACAAAATTGGCTTTTCTGGCCTATGAAAGTGCTTTATGTCTCCAATTATTTAGAACGTTTTAAATATCACTCAGTAATGATTTACAGCTTTCATTATATCTGTCACATCTTTAGTCAAATTTAATCATAACTATTTTTGTTTTATTATTTTGTTAAAATATATTTTAATATTGTTATATTTTAATTTATATGTTGCTGATATGTTAAAATATATTGATTTTTCATTTGCCCTTGTATCTTGCAACTTGACTTATTAGTTCCAGATTTTTTGTACTTTTCGATTGCATAGTGGATTTTCTACACAGACAATGATGCCTTCTTTGAATGAAGACAATTTTACTTCTTGCTTTCTAGTCTTGATTTCTATTATTTCTTTTTCTTGCCTTATTTCACTATCATCTGGAGTCTCCAGTGCAGTGTTGAATAGAAATAATTAGAGCAAAATTCTTGCCTTGGGCTCTAATCTTAGTGGAAAAGGATTCATTCTTTCATCATTAAGTATAATATTAGATGCAGATTTTTTTAGATACCATTTATCAGACTGAAGAAGTTTCTTTTTATTCCTTGTTTTCTCAGAGTTTTTAAGAATAAACCACGGTTGCATTTAGTCAAATATTTTTTGACTTGGGAATTCAATTAATGTATTTAAACTTATTCTTTGTTTAGGGTTATCAATTTTTGTCTGATCATCGTGTTAAATGTACTTGTTTTTAATATGTAGTGTTTTGTTACATTTAATTTCACTACATTTTTCAGAATTTTTGTAATTTTATACCAGAGGTGTTTAGTAGAAGTTTTTAATTTCCAGATGAAAGTGCTTCTTTGGTTTTTGTCTTTGTGTTTGATTTCTAGTTTTATTGCATTGGAATAAGAGGCTATTGTTTGTAAAATGTCAATGCTATGAAATCTACTGATGTTTTACTTGTGCCTTAATATATAATTATTTTGTGGATTTTCTATGTTTGCTTGAGAAGAAAGTATATTCTCTATTACCCAAAAGATTTAATATATTATGTTGTTTAAATTCTTTGTATTCTTCTCTTTTTTTCCAGTTAACTTATTTTGCACTGAAAGTTAAAATATCCTATTATTAATGTGTTCTGTTTGCATCTGCTGTGGTTTCTGTTTTGTGTAAGTGGTTACTTGATTATGTGGTACATAGATATCCATGATTACTATATTTTATTAGTATAATGGAATCTTTCACATTATGAAGTTTCTTCTTTGTGTCATACATATTTAGGGTTGAATTCTAATTTATCTTATAGCATCACAATCCTTGCTTTCTTTTTTTAATTTTTAACATTTGTAGGTTCATAGTAAATGTATATATTTACAGGATACATATATGTCTTAATACAGGCATACAGTGCCTAATAATTACATCATGGAGAATGGGCTATCCATCCCCGCAGGCATCTATGCTTCATGTTACAAACAATCCAACTATACTCTTTTAGTTATTTTAAAATTTACAATTAAATTATCATTGACTATAGTCACTCACTCTGTTGTGCTAACAAATAGTAGGTCTTATTAATTCTTTCTAACTAATTTTTGTACCCGTTAACCATCCCCACATCCCTCACACACACCCACACTACCATTCCCAGCTTCTGGTAACCATCTCCATGAGTTCAATTGTTTAGATTTTTAGTGAGAACATGCAATGTTTGTCTTTTTGTGCCTAGCTTATTTTGCTTAATACAATGATCTCCAGTTCCATCCATGTTGTTGCAAATGACAGGATCTTTTTTTTTTATGGCTGAATAATACTCCCTTTAATACAGCAAATTCCCTTCTGGCCCAAAGTGTGTCTATTCATTCATCTGATGGAGACTTAGCTTGCTTCCAAATCTTGGCTATTGTGAACAGTGCTACAACAAACATGAGATTGCAAATAATTCTTTGATATACTGATTTCCTTTCTTTTGGGTATATACCCAGCAGTGGGATTGCTGGATCCTATGGCAGCTCTATATTTAGCTTTTTGAGGAATCTCCAAAGTGTTCCTTATAGTGGTTGTACTAATTTACATTGCCAACAACAGTGTAGAAAAGTTCCCTTTTCTCTGCATCCTCACCAGCATTGTTTATTGCCTTTTGGATATAAGCCATTTTTACTAGGATGAAATGATATTTCACTGTAGTTTCTATTTGGATTTCTCTGATTATCAACGATGTTGTGCACCTTTTCATATGCCTGTTTGCCATTTGTTTGTCTTCTTTTCAGAAATGTCTATTCAAATCTTTTACCCATTTTTTGATTGGATTTTTGGATTTTTTTCCCATACAGTTGTTTAAGCTCCTTATATATTCTGGTTATTAATCCCTTGTCAAATGGGTAGTTTGCAAATATCTTCTTCCATTCTGTGGATTGTCTCTTCACTTTGTCGGTTGTATTTTTAGCTGTGCAGGACCTTTTTAACTCGACGTGATCCCATTCATCCATTTTGGCTTCTGTTGCCTGTGCTTGTGGGGTATTACTCAAGATATTTTTGCCCAGACCAATGTCCTGAAGAGTTTTCCCAATGTTTTCCTGTAGTAGTTTCATAGTTTGAGGTCTTAGGTTTAAGTCTTTAATTCATTTTTATTTCATTTTTGTATACAGTGAGAGATAGAGGTCTAGTTTCATTTTTCTGCTTACTGATATCCAGTTTTCCCAAGCACCATTTTTTGAAGAGACTGTCTTTTCCCCAGTGTATATTCTTGGCACCTTTGTCAAAAATGGATCACTGTAAGAGTGTGGATTTGTTTCTAGGTTCTCTATTCCATTCCATTGATCTGTGTGTCTGTTTTTCTGCTAGTACCATGGTGCTTTGGTTATTTGAATTCAGGTAATGTGATTCCTCCAGTTTTGTTCATTTTGCTTAGGATAGCCTTGGCTATTCTGGGTCTTTTGTGGTTCCATGTAAATTTTAGGATTGTTTACTCTATTTCTGTGAAAAAAAATGTCATCAGTATTTTGATAGAGATTACATTATATATATAGATTGCTTTGAGTAGTGTGATCATTTTAACAATATTGATTCTTCCAGTTCAGGGACACAGAATATCTTTCCATTTTTTGGTGTCCTCTTCAACTTCTTTCATCAGTGTTTTATAGTTTTTATTATAAAGATCTTTCAGTTATTTGATAAAGTTAATTCCTAGGTATTTAATTTTATTTGTAGTTATTATAATGAGGAGTACTTTTAAAATTTCTTTTTCAGATCATTTACTGTTGTCATATAGAAATGCTACTTATTTTTGTATGTTGATTTTGTATCCTGCTATGTTACCAAATTTTTTTTTAATCAGCTCTAATAGTTTTTCTGTTGAGTCTTTAGGATTTTCCAAATATAAGATTGTATCATCTGCAAACAAGGATAATTTAACTTCTTCCTTTCCAATTTGGATGTCTTTTATTTCCTTCTCTTCTCTGATTGTTCTAGCTGAGACTTCTAGTACTGTATTGAATAACTGTGGTGACAGTGGCATCCTTGTCATGTTCTAGATTTTAGAGCAAAGGCTTTCAGTTTTTCCCCATTCAGTATGATACTAGCTGTGGGTCTGTCATATATGGCTTTTTTTATGTTGAGGTATGTTTCTTCTATAGCCTGTTTTTTGAGGATTTTCATCATGAGTTCCCACATGCTCCAGAGGTGCCATCTGGGAGCCAGAGACTACAGTCAAAAACCTTAGAAGTCAACCTGGTATTCTACTGTACTGTGACTAAACCGGCATTCAAACCACAAGATGTAGTCCTGCCCACTCTTCCTTCCGCTTTCCAAAGGCAGAGGAGCCTCATCCCAGGGCCACCACCACCACAGGCCCATAGGGAATGCTGCCAGACTACCACTGATGTTCCCTTAAGGCCCACGGGCTCTTCAGCTTGTGGTGAATATTGCCTGGCCTGGGACACACCCATCAGGGAAGTGGTCTCCCCTCTGCCCCAAGGAAGGTTCAGAAATGTCATCCAAGAGCCAAGTTCTGGAATCAGAGTCTCCAACAGCCTACTTGGTGCTGTGGCCCACTGTGGTCAACCTGGTACCTGAAGCCAGCATATCTCAAGGTCTCACTAAAGGCCCTCAACATAGTACCTGAATGTTGCTGTTGGTTATTCAGGGCCCAAGGACTTTTCAGTTAGCAGGTGATGAATGCCGCCAGGACTCGTTCTTTTTGTTTTTGTTTTTGTTTTTGTTTTTGTTTTTTGAGACAGAGTTTCACTCTGTCAACCAGTCTGGAGTGCAAAGGTGCAATCTTGTTTCACTGCAACCTCCGCCTCCCAGGTTCAAGTGATTCTCCTGCCTCAGCCTCCCAAGTAGCTGAGATTACATGTGCATCCCACCACGCCCAATTAATTTTTGTATTTTTAGTAGAGATGGTGTTTCACTATAATGGCCAGGCTGGTCTCAAACTCCTGACCTTGTGATCCGCTTGCCTCGGTCTCCCAAAGTGATAGGATTACAGGCGTGAGCCACCATGCCTGGCCAGGACTCATTCTTAAAGATCCTTCCCTTTAAGACAGCGGATTCCCTTCTGGCCCAAAATGTGTCTAGAAATGTCTGGGAACTAGGTCCTGGAAGGGAAGCCTCAAAACTCTGACCTGTGCCTTATCCTGCTGTGACTGAGCTGGTATCCAAGATGCAAGACAAACTCCACCCCACTCTTCCCACTTCTCTCCTCAGATGGAAGTAACAGATCTCTTTTGGGCCTATGAGTTGTGAGGCCTGGAAATAGGGGAGGGATGATGCCAGGACTCCCTTAGCCACACCCGCTGGTGTCTCAGTAGGTCTTGTACCCTGACCAGTCCATTGTCTGTGAGCCCAGTTCAGCACTAGGACTCTCCTAGGAGTGGCAGTCCTTGTCGCCTAGACTGCCTTTTGAGTTTATTTATAACCCCAAAGCACTTTGGACCTCAAAGCTTGCAGGAACTCAAATTCCAACCACTGCAATCAGTGATTCCCCTCTTATTAGGGCTGGTTTAAATGCTCCCTCCGTGGGCAGGCACCTGCTGATTTTGGTCCAGTTTTGCTTTCTGCTGTAAGAAGACAGCACTGAGTTCAATGCCTCACAATTGCTGAGCTCTCCCTACCCCAGTGCACAGAAACGCTCTCAGCACCACGCGGCCACTTCATGGGGGAGAAGGAGGGGTGTTGTTGGCAATTCAAGAGTCATGTTTTTTTTAACTTCTTTGGTGACTCTTTCAGGGATACAAAGTTAAAACCAAGTACTGTGAGTGCTCATCTGATTTTTGGTTCTTATGAAGGAGCTTCTTTGGTGTAGATAGTTATTAAGCTGGCATTCCTTGCACGGCAGAGGGGGCAGAGAGGTGGCATGATCAGTGGAGGCTTCTATTCATCATCTTGCTCTCCACAATCCTTGCTTTCTTATAGTTTTCATTGTGTTTTATATCTTTATCCATTCTTTTATTTTTACCTTATATTAATTATTGTGTTTCCAGGTATTCACTTGTGTAATGCATATAGTTAGGTTTTTCCTTTACAAGCCAATTTGAAAAATATTAATATGTTATTTAAGCCACTCACATTTATTGATATGACTGAAATGTTTGATCACAATTATGTCATATCATCATTTGTTCAAATTACTGTAGTAATAAGTAATATTTACTGTGTTTCTTTCCCTATTTAATGTATCCTTTTTATTTTCCTTTTTGTTTAAAAAAAAGTGGGGGATTGTTTGTTTTGATGGTGTATTTGGTATTTAGAAAAGTTTGTATTTTCATCATAGTGGTTACTTGTGTATTATTACCCTTTACAAAACCTCAATTCCTCCTTTCTCTTACTTAACATTTTACTATCTGATCTGCTGGTTTCAAAGGAATCCTGTGACTCCTCCTATTAATTATACAACAGCAAATAATATTTCAAATATTAAGTGGTATTATTACTACTTTGTGGGAATCTATAAGGTTTACACATTATTCTTCTACTCTCGATCTACCCTCATTAATTTAGTTGTAATATTATATAATGTGAAATATTCACCATCGATCCTTTTTGCAAAGATTTCCAAATCATTTATTGATTGAATGGAACCTATTCTAGCTGATTCATCAGGAAAAGCACATGTGTGCTGTATTCCCTAGTCCTTGCACATTTAAACTTTTTTTTGTCTATCCTTGATATTTGAAGCACAGCCTGCCTGGGGATAACATCTTTCGTTCACATTTTCTGTCCTTAATTTCTTTAAAATGCTGATCAACAGTTTCCTTGCTTTTGATGATGTTTTCAGGAGTCTGATGCCAATTCGGTTCTATTGACCTTAAGGATTATTTCTTCTTTTGCATGAGGCATCAATTTTTTAAATCACAAAATATAATAATTTTACCATATATTTCAGAGTTGATCATTATGAATCAACTTTCCCAATATCCCATGGTTAACATATAAATTCCAGTCTTTTTCTCCAGAAAACTGTTTCAGATTACAGGTTTAAATACTAGTTTTATTCCACTGCTTTCATTTTATTCTCAGGGACTCCAACTTCTACTAGTGTTAGACCTTCTTTACCTGTCTTCAATGTCAGCCACTTGCTCTCTGAAACTTTTTACTTTTTACTTCTTTCTTTTTCTTGTGTCATTGTCTTGTTTTAGTGCTTTTTGTCAACAGCATTTATATTTTCACTTAAATCTATTCCCCATTATCCACTTGATAATTTAATTTTTAATGTTATTTTGCCTTTTTCTTCTACTTTGTTGAGTTCAATCAAATCTTTTTCACTTTCCTTTTTTGTCCACGTTCTTCCTTACTTTTTATACTTCTGATTTCAGATTTTATTTTCGTATTCTCAAATGTTTGTTTCAAGATATTTAATTTAGTTTAAAATGTTGCATTTTCATTTTCAGCTTTGTAGTTGATTTTGTGGGGATTTGATTTATTTTTTTTTATTTGACTCCTTGATCTTTGTAATAGTTTTGTGTCAATGAAATCTGTGGGGTTTTTTTCTATTTTTATATACTTCATGAACATAGTTTCTAGCTTGAAAACATCCTCTTCTGTCAGTTCTACCTTCTCCTGTGCAGTTTTGTTTATAAGTATTTAGTACTGGTTAGTGGGGAGGAGAAGAAATTGGCATGCTTTTTCTTTCTCTCTTTTATGCAAAATTTTTACTTTAATTTTCTCCCTCTTGCTTCCTTCTTTCCCTTTACTGCTGTGCCACCAAGGAGAACCTCCCTTTCCTTACATATCTCATTCTCCATCAGAAGCTACCTTCTCCATTACTGACACTTATGCTTTACTTGCAAGCCTCTCCCCTGAGGTTGGTGCTGCACATGGCTACATCCAGCCTATATTCAGCATTTTAACAGTTAGCATTGGATTTTCTATTTCCAGGAATGATTTTGTCTGTACTTTATCTAAGTCTTTCTTGCCTCTCTACTGTTTTTCACAAAGCTTCTCTTCTTTGACTCTCCACACTCATAGTCTCACTGATTTCTAATCCTGGCTTTCACACTTACTAACTTGGAAAAATGACTTGATCACTACAAGGCAGTTTTTCAACTAAAAATGCTTCCCAGCACAATGCTTGCACATGTCTGATGGCTGTTGTGGTTCTTGTCCTTGAAAGTAAAAGTTGAAAGAAAATCTAGCATGCTTTAGAGCTACTGGGGCTATTATAGAGCTGTTCTCACCAACCTCAAACATCCTTATCTGCCCACACAATACACACCAATGCCCAACAAGCAAGGGAAGTAATGTGCCTCCATAGTTTTCAATATTTCATCAGTGCTTTCCTCTACCAGAATGAGCAGTAAAGTTGTCATCAAAAAGGAATCATAGGCATAAAAATTATTATTTTAGACAGAGAACTGACTATTGGGTCAATCTGATTTCAAATAATTGGCACAGTAGTAATATCAAATCTATGCAGCTGATGAGAAATGTCTGGTTGAATGGTGTGGCCTTATTTCCCAGGTCTGGATCTGGCTAACAAGATGCCTTCTCCTAGAACTCTGAAGACTCATCTGCCTGTTCAGATGCTACCACCTTCCTTCTGGAAAGAAAATTCAAAAGTAAGAAGAGCCAACTCTTCAAACTGAGTTTGATTGGCATGGCTGAATAATGTCTCTAAGTAGAAACAGTCAAAGATGCTAAAAGAAAGATAGCCAGTGGAGCCATAGGGCAGATGGTGGCATTACCCCACATTCCCACACACTCCATTCTGGATTCATCTTCCTTCAAAATATTATTTTTGGGTATACATTGGGAAATTTTCAGACAAAATTATTCTGACCATCTGCCATCTAAGCCACATTCAAAGAAGGTGATCAATGAAACAAAGCAGGTATTTCCTGAGGAAGAGTGATCTCTTAGATTGTGTCCTCTAAGGAGCTGGCAGAGTCAGACCTGAAAGAGAAATATTTGGAGGAAAACCTGTGAAAAGAGGAGTAAGACAAACAAGTATGGAGAGCAATAAGACCATGATGCAAGTCTGACCCCTATGAAGGAGAGGCAAGGAAGGAGAGTTGAAGACTCAGACTACAGTTATGAGTCATGATTCATCCAAGCAGATGGGGAGTCCTCCAGCCAAAGTCAACCATCAGAGAGTCCCATATCTCATAGACTGGGCCTGCCTTAGCATGCCTGCTGTGCTTACTCATTAGCCAAGAGCAGCCGTTTGGAAATGTGGTCTTATAAAGAACATGGTAGTGGATTCAGAATATAGCAGCTGAGGTCATCCATCACTTACTTTCCATATCCAGAGATCTGAACAGCCCATGTTCATGGCCACCATTTGGCTGCCCTGATGAGATTAAGTACACCTTGTTATCCAAAATCTGCTCCTCTTCTTTTCAGGATGAGAAATATGATTTTGTCTTATTTTGATCTGGCCCACCCTTAATGCTAACTGAGAGATCAACAGACTCTCAGAAAGCATATCTCATGAAGCAAGATCCTAGGTACTGTTAGACCTTTATTTCCTTCATTTTCAAAAAATATATTTTTATTTTGACACTTTCTAATTCAGATCTATAAGTGCAGTGTACATTGAGTGTAGCGGGGATTCCTTTTGATTTCTGCTTTATAAGTTAGTCTTAAGTTAATGAAATGTGTAATATAAACAAAATATCAACTTATACATTTGCAATGAAAAGTATAGCCACTCAGCAGAACCAAATGCTTGTATCAGCTAGACCAGCATATCATCTCCTTGTGGGCAAGCTGCTTTGTAAACACAGTTGTCTGAAGATTGCTGAGAAAGTGAGTTGATGTTAAAAAGTGTTTTTCAGCTATGACAGCTGCAGTCTTTCAACCTTCTAGACTAAATTTACCAAGGAAACCGTAATGGTCAAGTCTAACCAAGACTATCTCTCCTTGGTGCAGTGCTCAGATACATGATGCGAGTGATTGCTTTTGACTTCCTATTTTTTTCTGAGCTTCCATGACTCACTAGCTCTTTATTTTGTCCATCTCCTATCTCCAAATAAGGTACAATACAATTGAATAGTTTTCCAAGTATCTGCTTGCTTTGATCCCCCAATTTGCTGATTTGCTTCCCTGAGATCATGCCCAGATCACCTGGATTTGTGAAAACTTCTTGGTTTATTCCCACAGATAAATACCTTCACATATTGTATGTTAATTTTATTCCTCAAGAACCAATATTATTTCCAAATCTTGAGACTCATTGTCAGAAGACACACTAACACTTGGTTAGTCATCATACTAACATCTTCTTTTTGTAAAATCGGGTCTTCTAAATAATGTAAACATCTTAGTGGCAGCACTTCCATTTATCCACTTAAACTTGGTGCGAATTATTTGAGTAGTAAAAGACTGTAGGGAGCTTAGTCCAAGTTTTTCATTTTATGATGGCATGGTAGGCTGAATAATAGTCACTCCAAGATAGCTACATCCTAATCACCAGACCTGGGAGTATTACATATATTGCAAAATGGACTACACAGAAGTGACTAAGTTAAGGATCTTGAGATGGGGAGATTATCTTGGATTGTCTCAGTCTTAAATATCAGCACAAGGGTATTTAAAAGATGGAGACAAGCATATCAGAGGAGAAAATAGGAGCTGTGACAACTGAAGCAAGAATTTGGAGTGATTCAAGGAAGGGGTCAAGAGCCAAGAAGTACAGGTGGCCTCTAGATGCTAAAAACAAGACAATGAATTCTCCCCAGAGCCATTAAAGGAACTAGCCATGCTGACACCTTGACTTTAGCCCAGTGAAATCTGACCTTCAGAACAGTGAGAGAATAAATCTACATTGTTTTAAGCCATTTGTGGTAATTTGTTACAGCAGCAATTGGAAATTAATACAGATGAATCAAGAGGTTCTCAGAAATTTTATTTGACATTGGATCCCACACCTAATGTACATTTGAATATGTTTCCTGCTTATCCTAGGACTTCCCATTTCAATTTAGGCCTAGAAGGCAATAAGCAACATAAGCATTAAGGAATGTTACACAAAATATATGTACATAATAATAAGACTTTGTACTTGCATCCTACTTTTTGACACCATAAATGCTTTCATAAATGCTGGATAGAAAGCCAGCAGCAAGAAAGGGGGCAGAAAAACAGAGTCATGCCAGGACTGTGTTCATCTGAGTGAGCAAAGACGGAAAGCAAGAACCTAGGGCAATTCATTTAGGGTAAAATAGGGCTGGATGATTGGTTGTGTTGGACACATAGTGTCCATAGTGAGACACAGGACAAAAATTCTTGAGAAACCACTGAGAATGGTTCCTCTCAAGCCCTGCTAAGATAGCATACAGCAGGGTAGGATGGGATGGGAGCCAGAGTAATGAGGGGAGGAAGGGGTCACCAGGACAAGAAGTCAAGAAGTCAGCTCCTTCTCACCAGACCATGCCTGCCCTATGAGAAGACCATCACACACAGTTCCAAAGATGGACTTAGCACTGCCTCAAGCGTCCTTCAACCTAATCAGCAAATGAATGTAGGAGTGATAATTTATCACTAAGGCTGGGATTCATATCATGGAAATTAAACCAAATGGCTAGCTGCTTTAGCTCCTCCCAGCCTAGAACCTACTTTAGATTCCTTGCTTAGTGAAAGCCATATTTTTCACACACTGAAAAATATACCACATGCTATCGTCTACATTTGTCCCTTCAAAATTCATATGTGAGATTTTAAGCCCAACAGTGATAGTATTAGGAGGTGGGACCTTTGAAAGGAGATTAGGCCAAGTGGAGAGCCCTCATGAACGGGATTCATGTTTATAACACATGGCTGTCTCAAGGCAGCAGATTATCACCATATACCAAATCTTGGATTCTCCAGCCTGTAGAACTGTGAGAAATAAGTTTTTGTTGTTTAGGAGCCACCCAGCATGTGGTATTTTGTTATAGAACCCTGAATGGATGAAGACAACATGGGTAGCCTCCTTAACCTCCAGAAATATCAGAGTTAGGGTGAATGTAGTATGCACCATGCAAACAGGACACTTCTATCAGAGAAAAGGGGTGCTCTTAATGATCATGCTGAGACCACAGCTATAAATTGGAATTGCACCTAGACAAACTGGAAGGGATAGTCACCTTTGATCATAGAAAATGCATGAACATGCAATTATTCAAATAGGATAGTCCAAGATTCTACAAAGAGGCTTTCTAAGATTATGGTCCTCTGCACTGAATAATATTTCTCTGTCTTGTTTTCTCTCTGCGTCTCATTCCTCTTGCTGGCTGATTCCAGATTATCTATGTGGCTAGAAATGCCAAGGACTGTCTGGTCTCCTACTATCATTTCTCAAGAATGAATAAAATGTTGCCTGACCCTGGTACCTGGGAGGAATATGTTGAGACATTCAAAGCTGGAAAAGGTGAGTGGAAGAAAACTGTGAGTTCATATTTCCTTATTCATTCACCTGCTGACAGCAGAAGGAAAGATAATTTTCACTGAATGGCTGTATCCATCAAGGTCTTGTGAGGAAGTAGATGGCACTCAAACTGGGTCATCTGGGAAGACTCTAACAAAGAGACTATTTACAAGGCTATAGCAGAGTTTAAGGAAACTGATAAGGGCTAGTGCAGTATTCTGGGGAGAGTACCAGCAGGGAGCCATATCTCTCCAGGGACAGAAGAGGACCCCTTGACAGGAGCTAAAGCCTTTGGTGGGGGAAGCAGTGAGCCAACAGGAAGGGCATCAGGGAAATAAACACAATGTCCTCCTCTCCTTCTGCCTCTAAATACCTTCCTACACCTCTTGCTGACACAGTCCATCTGTAATCCTGAGGACAAAGGAGGTCACTGACAAAGTCCATGCAGGTTGCTTTGCAGGGCACCAAGCAGAGCACAAGACAACGGAAAGTGGAGTTGGCAGAGACAACAGAAAATACCCAGTGAGCTTCTCTATTTACCATCAAAGAGAGTGAAGGTGCCCAAATATCCAGTACTTATAAATTTTTCACAGTAAAAGTCTTCTTTTTAAAATCAGCCTGTTCAGAAACAATATTTATTGTGTAATATTGACCAATGCACTATGTGATGATGCAAGGAAAATAAAGGTGTTGAATCCCTGGCCACAAGACAATCTTTCATGGAGTAATAAGTTCAAGGTTGGAAATATAAACCAAGGGATCCAGAATACTTTTTATCATCACCCTACTTAAAAAAAAAAAAATCCCTCTCTTCTGCAAACAAGAATTCTGCCCAAGGTCTTTGTCTTCTGGTTGTATTTATTAAATGTCCCCTTTTTTGTGAAATATTCATGTTTGTTTCACAAGTTTCATGCTGGCATTGACATCTCATCTCTCTCCTTCCCCTCAGTGCTTTGGGGTTCCTGGTATGACCACGTAAAGGGATGGTGGGATGCAAAAGACCAGCACCGCATTCTCTACCTCTTCTACGAGGACATGAAGGAGGTGAGGGCAGTGCCATCTCCATCAGATCCTCCCACATCCTAGGATACATCAATCCCTGTTTAGAACCCTAGTGCGTGGGCTTTCCTACAGAAGAGTCTTCAGTGCAAGTCCATGACACTGTTTGCAACTCAGTTTTATCCTCAAAAGCTCTAACTACTTTTTTTGGCATTCTAAATTTGCTTTGCTTTAATTCACAGTTTTCAAAATATTCTTCTGCCTCAGGAAATAGCACATGCTTTATAGTTGAATCAATCTGTTGGATCCTGACACTTATAAGCCAGATATCTTTATCTGCAAAATGGTATCATGTCTATCTCATGAGATCATTGTAAAGATTTACACTGTCATATTTGTAAAGTGTACATAGTTGTGTTCAAGAAATTTAGCTTCCTTCTCCCTCTTGCACACCTCAACCCCACATCATAAAGCAAAGTTTAATCTGTATAAACACTGGTAGGATCAGTCCCACGTATTGGGACAGTGGACTGATTTCTGAATTTCAAACCATTGTGTATGAGTGGCTGCACAAATCCAGTCTCATGACCCAGTGCATCAGCATCCTAGAATTACAAAACTAGCGTCTAAAATGTCCTCAGAAACTTAATCAAAAGCTATAGCTTTCTCTCTTTCTGTATCTCTTTGATCAAAAAGATTCAAGAAATAAGGATTCATATTTCTGGGTCGACTTGAGATTCCTTTTATTCCTCCTCTTAGTGACCTTCTGTTAAGTTCATAGGTTCTTTTTGCCATCTGTTGTAGTCCAAATACTAGAGTTAGTCATACTATGCTTCACCACCAACATTGTTCCTCCTTCACACAGCCTTCCTTGTTCTCCCGCAGGAGATACTGTTGCTCCTTCCCACCAAATCTCCTGGCACTCTGTCTGTACACAGGCAGCATGTACTTTCTCAGCCAGCCATGCAGTTGTTTGTATTTGTGTTTAATTCCTTTTCTTCAAAGTAAGCCTCTTGAGGGCAGGGACAGCCCTCATCTTTGTGTTGCTACAGTATCTGGGACAGTACAGTGCCTGGCAGTAGGAGTCACTTGAGAAATATTTTTAAAATGTGTTTGAATTGATCCTTTAACCCATTTCTCTCCAAATCCTGTCCAAATGGAACATCATCCCCAAGGGAGGCCCAACATGATTTGTTTGGTATGACTGTTCCACATACAGGACCCAAAGCGGGAAATTGAGAAGATACTGAAGTTCCTGGAGAAAGACATATCAGAGGAAATTCTGAATAAAATCATCTATCACACCTCCTTTGACGTAATGAAGCAAAACCCAATGGCCAACTATACCACCTGGCCCACCAGCATTATGGACCACTCCATCTCCCCTTTTATGAGGAAAGGTAGATAAGCTTTGTAGTCTAAGATGTCAAATGGAACTCTGTGGTCCCCATGGTCTGCTTAGATTTTCCAGTAATGTTTCATGCTCCATTATTTATTCTTTCCAGCAGCACCACTGTACAACCTTTGAGAGGCAAGTTGCCTGTTTCTCCCCATTCTTGGTGGGGTCCTAAGGGTGCATGCTTACCTCTCCCTGTACTCCTGCAGCAATCATTGAGATTTTGCCTTGTTTCAGGGATGCCTGGAGACTGGAAGAACTATTTTACTGTGGCCCAGAATGAAGAATTTGACAAGGACTACCAGAACAAGATGGCAGGAAGCACCCTAACCTTCCGCACAGAGATCTGAGAGCAGTCAGGGAGTTTGCCCTGGACTTTCTTACCAGATTTTTGCCATTTGAGCCTCATGATCAAGGATACTTAAAACAAAGACACGCTTCCTCCAGTCTGAAGCTGTCACACACTAGCTGTAGATCCTATGCCACTGTGATAATACTTCATCAAAATGTAACCAAATCCTGGGTAGAGTTTTTAATTAAGATACATGATCTCTCATTTAGACACCAAACACCTAATGTACTCGCCTGTCCTAAGGCAAAATAAAGGCAACTTAGTTCCATCACTAGTTTACAATAGTGAAATAAATAAAACAATAAATAGGAGTAGAATTTCTACGTAAGAGAAAGTGAGCAACAGAAGAATGAGGATGAGAAGTGGGCACTAGGGAGAATGTGAGGGGGAACTGGTTTTTATTTTTAAAGGTCAGGAATGAGAGGCAGAGGATAGTCCTACTCTTGAAGATATTAGATTAGGAGGTGCAGAGCGTGGCATGAAGGATGGAATGCTGTCAGCTGGGTTTCACTTAGGTGGCTTCAAGCTGAAATGGTTCCCCAAAAAAAGACAAAGGCCACAGGAGAGCGATGAGGAACACAAGAGGAACAAGAAACTCAGCCTACTTCCATGGTCAACACAAGGCTGGAAAGCAGAGAAAGATTTTTGTCTTTCAGATGGACTTCTGAGAGAGAGAGGAAGTCTTCAGTGAGCTCAAGAGAAAAATAAAATAAAATAAAATATTCAGTAAATCATGCACATTAAGAAAACCTTAGATTTGACATCTCTGTGGAAAATCGCTTTTCATACTTTTTTTAAAAAGGGCTCTTAGCGAAACTGTCAGCATTGCCAAGTTCTTCAGCTGTACTAATGATTATGTTCTTTTCCTTCTTTTTATTAAAACCTGTACCGAGAAAATATTGCCATCATTTATATGAGCTATACAAAGATCCATGTATTATTATTTTTTTAATGTCAGGAAGGTACATTTTGTGGGATAGGTGTTTTCCTTACCATTAAACCATAAAACACAAAAAAATTATCTACTCCACCCAGTAACAAAGTACACCCCTTTGCATTTTTTCATCATTCCCTCTCTAGGGTAAGCATGCAAATCATTAACCACATGACAAATATCCCAGTATAGTATTTATGCAGAGTTCCAGCCTGCACTGAGGAAAGATATGGTGAACTGAACCAGCGTGATTCAATAGCAAATAAATTTTTATCAGGAACAACCACACCAAATGTCTTGGGTTCACGTTCTAAGAGCTGCCTAACAATTTTAGATAGCAGCACATAATCACATAATGACTCCCTTTGTGACTATGATAGAAACTGGACACATGGGCAGTATTGATCAGAATATAGGCAATAGGTCTAGAGTTTATGACTAGACAAAACTTGCTTTTCTTCCTTTATAAACTAATTTTTTACTTTAATTGTAAAAATACATCCCATTCTTATATTCTCTATAAATTTCAGCCACAGAAAATATTTCTAGACTCCTCTTTTACAAAACTCTGCTATGTCCTTTTAAACAATGCTGAAAGTACCATGAAGAAAAATTAATGATTTAATTCAATCTTAAAATATCTTTGGTCCAGCTGCATAAAATAAACATGATGAAGATGACCCTCCATGTATCCTAGATAATCTTGTGTTCTGATCACTTATTACATACTTAGAGAGAGAGAGAGACTCCTAAATATACCACAGTCATAGAAGATCAAATTGTAAATGTTCAATTTACTTTGGAACCCTTCACGTAGAAGAAAATGAAAAGCAGCAATGGGTAGTTAGACTCATAAAATTTTAGAGTGAGAATTGCAAGAGTCAGAAAGATCACATCATTCAACAATCTTACTTTTCAGATGAGAAGACTAAGAACCAGGGAGAGAGGGATGGCCCCCACAAACAGGTCATGCAGACACGCTTAAATCGGGATCCCCCAGCCCCTGGCTAGCTCCCCACACACTGCAGGAGTCACACAGATTGTGAAAGTCTTCTCTGCAGACTTCATCTTGCACTCACTCACTTCCTCTTAGCACTTGGAACTGCTTGGGTGTTCTATGGATTCTTTCTGATTACATAAGAAATTCCAAAACTTTTCTAATGACCTACTTAGAAAAACAACAAAGCCTGATGGGAATCCACTTAGAAAGGCAGCTCTTCCAAGAGAGGGTCTCTGCATCAGAGCGTCTTGGAGATGTCTGTGAGCAGGAGGGAGCCCCCAGCAGAAACTGCCCTTCCCCAAAGCTGAGTAAAGCCCAGTTCTGCCCTCCACCCCTGTCGAGGCTTCTGGGATTTCTTTGGCTTGTAGGTACCAGGCAGATATCTCCTGCATCCTGCCCAATCTCACCACATCTCCCACAGGGCCTGCTCTCAGTGGTGTGGACCGAGCTCCCTATGCAGCCCCAAAGGCTATGTTCTACTGCTCTTTTCCTCATTTTACCCTTAATAATCTAGTGAGGGTTTTGTTGTTAAGGGAACTTCAAAACATCTGAGGCAAATTTTACTCCAAATAAACTCAAGTATGGGGAATTCCAGGAAACAAATGACAGAGAGGAGGGTTAGGGACTGGAATGAAAATCCTTAACCCTTTCTAGGTGTTGTTAAAATGATCACCTGGGAGGCCATCGGACCTGAGTGCCTCAAGTGTCCCGGGTTCTTATGGAAGTAAAGCAAGACCCAACTCAGTTTCACTGAGGATTCAACCAGTCAGAAACCACCAGTCAATCTCAGACTAGGGACTTTTCAATTATTGCTCCACTTTGACCAATTAAACATTTCCCCTACCCTGCTTCCCATTCACTCTATAAAAGTCTCCCCACATGCTCCTTCAAAGGAAGCCTGAATCATTCTGGCTTGGAGTGCCAGATTCATGAATCATTGCCTGCTCAGATAAACTCTTCAAAACGTTAACCGGTCAGAGTTTACCTCTTAACAGCTCCTATTCTATTTTTTTCCAGCTTGGTAGAATTAGAGTTCATACTTGAGGAGTCTAATGATCAGTCTTCTCCAAAGAGGTTTTCCATCAGTGGAAGACCCTCCCAGCCGTTCTCCGTTATCAGTGCCCTTTCTCTCTCTACATTCGTGGATTGTTGGTCTAGGCTCACAGAGGTTGATCTAGGCCACAGAGGTGTCCTGTGGGCCAAAAATTCCAGCCATTTAGTATGGCTGGGAGCTATGAAAAAACTGTTTTTATACTTTTAAACAGTTGTTATAAAAACAACAGAAATGACAAAGAAGAATATGTAACCCACAAAGCCTAAAATATTTGCTATCTGATCCTTTACAGAAACTATTTTCTGACCCCTAGTTTAGGAAAACCCCCCAGCAGGCCTGTTCTGTACACAGAGGCCCTGGATGACCATCAACTCAGCCCTGCTGTAGGCACTACAGCCATGCAGGCACCACTGTTGCACACCTGCTCCATGGAGAGAGGGCAGAGGAGGAGAGAAGGGAACAAAAATTGAGTAAAGCCAAATTTGGTTTTACAAATGAATAAATATTAACAAACACCCTAGGCCCAGCCGTGGCTGGAACAGAGCATGCTGCAAGACCACCATGCATGGCTGGCACAAACATCCAAGCCCTGGAGTCCTCTCTTCCCTCACAGCCTGCCCTGTCAGCAGTGCTTTCTCCAGTACGTACATCTGGGCTCTCTCAGCACATGGTAATGTCTTGCCTCTCACTGGGTGCTTCAGAATCCCTCCTCAGGAAGAAGAGGCAGTGCTCCCCAGAGACCTCTTTTCATCAAGGAGGGCTAAGCATTGGGCTGAAGGCAGCAGGAATCAGGGACCCTCCAATGGGTCTAAGAAAATCAGGGGTCCTCAGCTGTCTGCAGGCCATCCTGGAGTGCTGCGTCTTTGTTGGCAATGTGGACTGTTTCCAGCAGAGTTGTCTCCTTCAGGGTCATCACTCTTGTCAGTCTCTGGGCACCACCTTCCACCCAGGGGGCACACTGGGAGAGTAGAGGTGAAGTGGTTGCCCCTCCTCGGTGGTGCCGGTTCTCTTCCTTCTCGCCTTCCACCCAGCCGACCCTGGCCCATGATCAGTCTCTGCATTTCAGTGACTCCCAAGCACGCTGTGGCTTCCACTTTCCTCATTCTGAAGCCTCTTCATGAGAACAATCAACCATTCATGTTCCATCTTCACCATAAGGCAAGCAAGAAAGAGAGCCCTTGCCTTTCATGAGATTCTTGGCAGTCCTCTGGGAAATCTCCCTCCCCACGCAGCCTCTCTGCATGTGCCCAGGGCCACCACATCTTCTCGGGGACACACTCACATGGCCAGGTCCTGGAATTGTCTTACATTGACAGCTGGTTCTTGGAAACCCCATGGAATGTGTCACACCAACGTCCTCCAAACTCTACCAAGCAGAACTCAGGGAATTTAGCACTTTCTGTAAATCTCTATCTGCCTTGGTTGACCATCCCTGAATTGACTCGTCTGTGCCTTAACTGGGGTTAAGTGAGGAAGGTCCAGTCAGAGCAGAGCATGGTTTGAGTTCAGACAAACAGAAGATGTGTCCGAGCTACCCCAGCTGACAAAGGCAGCTGGCCTCAGTCGGCTCAAGCTGAGTTTGTGGGTTGGATTGCACTGGGTCTTATGTGGATGAAGGAGAAGGCTCCTGAAGATCCGGATATGTGAATATAGGTGTCCTGGGTGAGGATCGCATGGGAGTCCCAGAAATCCAGACGTCATCAGACCTTCCTAGTCTTCTTCCCGAAGTTCTGAGGAGCACTCCCAACAGTGGGAGCCTGTGCATGGTAAAGGGCCGGACTCCCTTTGAAACTTGTAGGGGAAGTACGCCCAGTTCTCCAAGCCAAGAGAGGTCCCAGGCCACCACAGCTCTCATCCTCCCGAGGCAGGAGTTCTTCCTCCACCCACCTTCCCATCTGGAAGCACCTCCTTGGAAGTGGTGTACATGTTGTGGTCCCAGGAATAAGCAGGTGGGTATAGAAGGGACCAGTGGTTTTGTGGGCCATGATGGCAAGGACCGTAAAGTCAGTGCAGGTGCAGTTTTCAGATGGTGACCTGAACATGGCCTCCAGCCAGAAGGTGAGGATCAAGAAGGGTTATGCTTGGCTGATGGACAGCTCTCCATAGGTTAGGTCATCCCCAGTGTGCAGCTGGATTGCTGTGGGCTTGTGGGTCATCGGGCCTCCAGGAGCAGTCATTAGTGATGTCCACTCACAGAGTTCAGCCCTAGGTACAAAGTTTAGCAGAAAAAGGTGGGCTAACTGACTAGGGTTTGGTCTACCCCTAGGTTTAAAACTCTAGAGTCCAGCATGTCCCTAACCAGAAGGCCACTGGCTGCCCCCCTAAGCTCCAAACTGATGGAGAACATCCCCGACCACCACCAGTACCAATCATGGAAATTAGGGAACAATACAGGTGCAGGGAGAGGCAGACCAGGCTGGCATCTGACACAAGACTCAGTGTAGAATCAGCTGCAACAGCCAAATAAAAGTTCAGATGCCCTCCCCAGAAATTCATGTGGACATGAGCCTAAGAAACTAGCACAAAATATCTCCAGTCATGCCCCTTGAGGTCCCAGGGAGCTGGAATTTGAGAGAATGTCAGGTCACACCCTGGTTCTAATCAAGCAGGAAACTGCAATCAGTCACAGCACTTTGGCATAACTGCACGCCAGGCTGAATGTCCAAAAGCTGTTTGCACAGGCAAAACCTTAGGAGCATCCTGCTAGGGGCTGGTGTGCCAGGCAGACATCATTGTGAAATCCCACAGTGTGCAAGCAACCTGTGCCATCCTGTATTTGGGTTTGGGTTGCCAGAAGCAGATCCTGGTATGAGGGTTTCTGTGCAAGTGATTTATTTAAAAAGTCTTCCTAGGAGAGAATTATCAGGGTGTTGTGAGGCAGGCTGGAGAGGAAGTAGCCAAGCAAGGGTATGGACTTAGCACAGTCCTAGGTGCAGCGTGATCCTCAGGTGGCAGTGCAAGGATTGTCCTTACTTGGGGAAGGGAACTGGGCTTTCCTGGGGCATCTCACAGTCACTCCCTTTGAGATGCCCCAGGGCAATGTCAGCTCCCAGACCTGTGTTCTCTGAGCCTGTGATCTCTAAGCCTCTGGGCAAAGCCACTCAGTCCCCAGGGTCCAGGCTCATAGAAGAAAGGGTAGGGGGTGAGGCGAGGACTGGTGGTGGGGATCCAAGGGCATCTGGGCGGAGCACTAGGAACTCAGCTTCATTACGAGGGAGCATCAGTGAGGATGAACCCACTTCTGAATCCCACATGAGAAATCCAGCACTGTGTGAGTGCCACCGAGAACCTTGAGCTCTGTATGGTTGAAAAGCCTCCTTCTGAAGCTGGAGCTGAGTAGTCGCTGAATACAGGGTGCACATGGGGGTTGAGGATGGCGATGAACTACAGTGGTGGCACATGTGGGATTGACTGATCTGCCAGGTCAGCAGTGATCTGTGAGCTCTGCCCTGGTCTTTGCCAGCCAAGCTGGGGGTCTTCAGCCTTAAGGGGAAGTCTCCCTTTTTATCCCACCACACCCTGCTGCCCTGATACGGAGTGTGGCTATTAGGTAGGAAACACCTAGAATATGAGATGCAACATCCTAGCCCCTTTCCACGGGGCAGGGGGTACAGGTCCAAGCCAGGAAGGTCCTAGGACAGGGTGTTTCCCACTCAGGGCAGCAGGCCCTCCTGTAATTGAGAGACCTGGAGTCGGAGTCGAAAGTCACAGAAACGAAGATGGAACCTGAGACCAGGAAGCTGGAAAAGACACTCTGGGGAGGGCTCAAGGCATGTCTCATGACTAAAATACAACACTGAAGGCACAGGGGATGCAAAAGAAACAGGAGGAACGGGGAAAGTAAACAACCAGAAAGGAAAATGCCTGACTGCTGGGCTATGATGATGACAAAACTCATAGACAGACTTGCTCCACTTAAACTAAAGGGACAAAATAATGGTTTGTTTTTTGAGTATATTAAATGGATCTTTACTTAATTTCTGAAAGAAAGCTGAAAATATAAAACTGCTATACTTTTCCAGTGACGTTGAATATTATAATGAAATCTCTGATTGTGATATATCGATGATAGATAGATGATAGAGATAGAGATAGAGATAGAGAATAGAGAGATAGCGATAGAGATAGAGATAGAGATAGAGATAGAGATAGAGATAGAGATAGAGATATATACAGACAGAGGAAGAACTGGTTTTCAGTGTATTTAGCTATGTGAGTACACCTTGATGCCCGCACGCCATGGGATTTCACAGAGATGTCTGCCTGGCAATCAGCCCCCAGCAGGATGCTCCTGTCTTCCAAGGGTTTGCCTTGGCAAGAAGGCTTTGGACATTCAACCCGGTGTGCGATTATGCCAAAGTCAATCTAAAGCTGAAAAACTACTTGGAAATAATAAAGCAATCTGAACACCAGGCTTTACATAGTGTGCCTGTGAAGGTCTGTGATTAAAAGCCTTGAATTTCAGCCTCGTTTCTGGAATGTTGTCATAAATGTTAGTCGACAATCTATAGAACTGGAAGTCTTTCATTTCTCAGGCACAGGGACCTGACTCATGCTTCTCAAGCACACTTATACCTCTGTCAACCCATCCAAGGGTATTTCACTTTAAATATTTTTCTGATTAAGAGATGGGGGTTCAGGCTGGGTGCAGTGGCTCATGCCTGTAATCCTAGCACTTTGGGAGGCTGAAGCAAGCGGATCACTTGAGGCTAGGAGTTCAAGACCAGCAATGGCCAACATAGTGAAACCCTGTCTCTACTAAAAGAAAAATACAAAAAATTAGCTGTCCTTGGTGGTGGACAGTAATCCCAGCTACTTGGGAGGCTGAGGCAAGAGAATCGCTTGAACCTGGGAGGCAGAGGTTGCGGTGAGCCGAAATAGCACCATTGCGCTCCAGCCTGGGCGACAGAGCGAGACTCCATCTCAAAAAAGAGAGAGAGAGAGATGGAACATTATAAGCTTCCAGCTGAGTGGGAGATGGAAATAAGAAAACACTCTAAGGCTCCTTCCAACCTAGACCCTATGAACTTGAAATTCAGATGTGAATAGATCATCTTCTCCCTTCAAAAGCTCCAAATGGCACCTCTATGTGATTTCCTCCCACATCTAATTCTCTAGTTCAAAATATTCTGCAGGATTATTATGTTTTCAACTGCCCAGTAGATCTTCCCATCTCCACAAGTAATATCCCTCCACAGTACCTCCGTGTTGGAAATGTTTAAAATGACCCTCCTCCTGCTGCTTCTTCTCCTCCTTAACCATTTATTCCTTATAATTTCTGATTTCCAATTGCTGTTTATGAAAGCAGTATTTTATTGGGTATCTTTCCCCTTGATGTCCAGCAACTTAAATACTATGATATAAAAGTAATAATACTCAAGCATTATAATTTAAAATCAATACATCTTCTGTTACTTGATGGGGATAAGAGAAGGAAGAAAACAAAGACTTTGCTTAATATACATTTATATATACACATTCATAACAAAAAATACTCATGACAATTACAGCCCTCATTTCTGTAAATGGTCATGTGGTCATAGCTGATATTTATAACTACCTTCTTCCACTACCCATTCCATATTCCCATGCTTTCAACAAACACCTCAGCTAGTCATGCACCATTACCTGGTAAGGTTACCCAAGCCTTCATCCTGAAAGGTCTGGACCATAAGTATTCCTGCCCGAATTCAGCGGTAGTTTTCCGCTGAACTTAATCACAAGGCATGGTATACAAACACTCAAAGTTATCTCCTGGATTCCAGACAACTCTTGCTTGTTTCTATTGTGGAGCATGGGGGCCATGGACATTTGGGACACTTCTTTATGTAACTTACTTATGCCTTTAGGGCCTGCTCAGGCCCAATCATATATACATCACTTCTATTTCATGGTGAGTTGCTGCTCTGCACGCCCAAGTTTATGACTTTGTGATTAGATAATTCATGATGGGTATCTCAGGTCACGTGGTAACTTGGGGGGTCCATGGTTAAGCATTCAGTCTCTACCTCGGCCCAACAGCAGTCCAAGAGCTGTCTCTCAAAAGGAAAGTAGTTATCTGTGGAAGATAGCATTGGCTCACTCCAAAATCGTAAAGACCTGTACTGTGATTCACCTGCCAAAGATTCCACACAGCATCCCTGTCTGCCACTGACACCTCAAGCACCATTGGATCTGCTTGGTCATGTGGCACAAACGGCAGAACAGCTTGTGCAGCAGCCTGGACCTATTGCAGAGATTTCTGCTCTTCCGGGTCCTTCTTATAATGAATTTTCAGACTGCTCAGCAAATGGGCCGATGTAAGACACACAAAGAGGAAGATGATACCCCCAAAATCCCAAGAGGCCTACTGAGCATTGTGCCTCATCTTTGGCAGTGGAAGGTAAAAGATACAAGAACTTACCCTTCACATGAGAAGGGATATTTCAACATGCTCCATACCATTGGACCCTTATAAATTTCATGGAGGCAGAAGGCCCCTGAATTTTAGTCAAATTTCTTTCTTACCCTCTGACACTCAAATGCTGAACCAATAAGCCCAGAGTGGTTGCTACTTCTCGCTCACTAGGTCCAATCAGCATAATGTCATCAATAAACAGAACAGTGTAATATCTCATGGAAGAGAAAGGTGATCACATCTCTGTGAACTAAATTATAACACAGAGCTGGAGAATTGATAGAACCCCAAGGAACAATAGTGAGGCGTGGTGCTGGCCTTGCAAGTAAAAGCAAACTGCTTCTTGTGAGCGTTATGGACAGGCATGGAGAAAAATGAATTTACCAGATGAGTAGCTACATGTCAGTTCTCAGGGATGTGTTAATTTGCTCAAGCAATGAAACCACACCTGGGGTAGCAACTGTAATTAGCGTCACCATCTGGTTAAACTTATGATAATCCACTGTCATTCTTTAAGATCCATCTGTCCTCTGCATGGGCCAAACAGGAAAGTTCCATGGGGATGTGATGGGAGTCACCATCCTTGCATCTTTCAAATCCTTGATGGTGACACTAATCTCTGCAGCCCCTTTAGAAATGTGGATTTGCTTTTGATTTACCATTTTCCTAGGTAAAGGCAGATCTAGTGGCTGCCACTTGGCTTTTTCCACCTTAATAGCCCTCACTCCACAAGTCAAGGGAATAATGTGATAATTCTGCTAGCTGCTGAATTGTGCATTTCAGAACTGGGGAAATACCCACAGGACGGGTTCAGGAACACACTGGACCCACTGTGAGAAGGACCTGAGCTGAATTCCATTGGTCATCTGACCACCATAAGCCCCTACTCTGACTGTGGTGGGCCACAGTGGAATTCTGGATCTC